AAGGTCAGAAGAAATGATGAAGTGGAGAGACTCGATGATCTACCCTCAGCAATTACTACGAAACGTAGCCCGACAAGGTTGCTTAGCAGAATACGTCACGCTCGTAGACGTTGATATGATCCCGAGACCGGGTTTGGCGGAAGATTTGCGTTCCTTTTTGAGGAAAAAGGAGACACAGAGCTGCGAAAAATGCGCTTATGTTTTGCCGGTGTATGAAATCGCCGAAACCGCTGGGAAGCTTCCGGAAAACAAGGCTGACCTCGTGAAGATGATCACTGCAAAACGTGCTCGTCCATTCCACCAGGTTCGTTTTTGTCGACGACTCCTTGAAAAATCTATATTTATGAATCGAAATCAAGGAAACCTTGAATCTCCACAATACAATTACGCTTTAGTTTCATTCACTCATTCGGAAAATACTGCAAAATTCTGCAAATGGATTCCGACGGATGAACCGAATCCACTGTGCAAATGTTGTGTGAGGCTGATACCTTCCTTAGGAATATGAGAAAAGCATTATGTTGCCGAATCAAAATTGGCTACCCATATACCGTACATGTAGAAGGATTCAGAAATTTTCCGGAAGATTGCATTTATTTTATAATACTGTACCTGCTCCTCAATGAAATCATTCTGCCACTTTTGTAAAAGCAAATCACTGTGCCGCAGGGACTATAAATATCCGAAAGATATTGACCAAAAGATTTTTATGCATCTTACTTATTATTATAAGATCTGGCACCTGTACGATTTTTATGCTCAGTGAATTGAAAAATTGGATGCTTGAAAATTTGTCAGGAAACATAAAATTACCGATGCATCAGTGAGCAGATTCTGGGACGGTGAATAAATGTGTGTATAGATAAAAATTTCGCAATAAAAAACTTCTATTGAAATAATAATTTTTTTTGCATAGAAATCATGCTAAAAATTAAACTGTATAGAGAATGAAACCGATTATGAAATAGGAAAATATTTTTTCATCTGCACCAAAACTATAATAATATGCTCTTTGTCCATCCTTCACCTTGTCCGGGGCATTTTCGGGCAAACCAGCGAACTAAAATGGTTTAGGCTTTGTATGTTTAAACAAATTGCAATGCGTTTGCAAATAAAATAAGCGCAGAAATTAAGTCGGTATGATGTAGCACTCAATTCTCATGTAGTGCTGATTTTGTGGATCCAATTTGAGGGACGTGGGTTTCGTTGGCGTTGAACTCTTCACAAGCACCGCCCTGAATTAGATCGTTTGCTGTTCATTCAGATTGTATTGAAATTTTGATAAGGCCTAAGGTCTAGTAGTCATTCTTCTTAAGACCGAGCAGTTTAAACTGACGAACCGTTCGACAAGGTAGCTGCAGCTTACTCGAGTTTCAACGGATGCTACAAGAGTTCAAACTCGACGTTAACGAGCCGATATACGTCACGAAAGGACCTGTCCCATTTTTCGACGAACGATTTGAAGGTTTCGGTTGCACAAGATGGACCCAGGTAAATATCAGCTGGCTTCAGAAAAAAACATTCATCGTCATTGTTGGAAGAGTCGGTTTGCAGTCTCCGTATGATGTCGAACTGAAATTGTAGAAAAGCTAGCATCTCTACTAGAAAAGGAAGAAATCAATGGTCAGCTGGAATTTGCAAGGAGTCTTTTTTTATACTCAGCAAATTTTTTTAACTTATCGAGAGAACTGGAAAGTAAAAAGGCATTTCTTTTTATTTGCGCATTTCTCTTTCTTTAGCTTAAGGAGAGATAATTTCTGGAGTCTCCTCACATTCGAGAACCTCTTGAGAAGCACATGTGTTTTTTGGGTGTGGTGATGTCTAGCTAAATGAGCGCATTTATCTTACGCTAAAAAAGTTGCAATCACGATTTTACTTCTGCAATAAAAAAGATTACGAATGCACTTCATGAACGTTAACGTAAAAGTTTCCAGCAACGTATGTTTACCGTGAAAAAGATCCCATTTCATGAAAAAATAATGTTCAGCATGTCCTACTTTCAATGACAGTATAAGCAAAATGCCATCCTTTGAGCCGATCAGAGCATAATAAGAATGAAAGTGGATCGGGTTTGAATAAAAAAAAAATATTCTGTATGGACATATAATAAAATCAGCAGCATTTTTGAAGCTTTTGTTAGCCTTTCTTGTGATCTTATATTGCTCAATAAATGACGATGAATAGCATTTTGAAAATGAAATTCTTTGCATAAATTCCTGAATTATTTTTAAATATTTATGCAATTCACGGTGACATACTTCAGTTGGGACGGGTAGCACAAATATAAAAGAAAGTAAATAATTTGAACAATGCTTTTCAATTTCGCAAGTTAATCTGCACCACTTTAAGATTAAATTTTTTGCGGAAATCAGATACCCTCTGAATCTGCGACGTTCGATGCCTAGACTTGATCGTTAAAAAAACATTACCTGGCTTCTTTGCGAATAATTTCGTAATATCAATAGTATTTGTACTGCCCTTCTTGAAAGGCGAAACCCTTGGATTTTTCCAATACTGCAATGGTTCAGTTCCGTAGATTTTCCCAATACTGCAATGGTTCAGTTTCGTAACCAAAAATGAAAATTTGGTACTGAACAGAATGTCGAAGCAACTTTGAAATTTTCACAACGGGATTTTACGAGTTACTCAGTTTAAAATCCTGGAATAGAGAAAATTCACGTTTAAAAATCTGAATCATGCACCGGGTGTAAGAAAAAAAAATCAAGACCTCCACTTTTGGTTTCATGTTTTAGAATTTCAGGTTTCTGATCATTATGCTTGCCGGTATTTTCTATCTTACTCATACATTTTTTTCTGTCCCTGAATGCAGCATGTTTTGATTTTTTTACGTGTCAAAAGAACCCTTTCTACATTGAAACGCGTTTGATAGCTTGGGGAAAACGTCGACCTCTCTCAAATCGGATGGTATTTTGAATATAATTACAGGCTTATGAGATGCTGGTCCTGGGTTTCCAGTTCAAGGTGCTCGACAACGCCTTTTTGAGTCACTGGGGATTCCAGGTGCTCAAAACGCGTCCCAAGTGGCGAGCTAAGCAGCAAGAAGCCAACAACCGCCGCCTGGATCAATATTCCCAAGAATTCGTCGCCAAGTACCATAGAGACCCATTGAACCTCCAGGGGTATTCTAAGAAAGCTGCCAAATTTGTCATCGCTTATGGTCATTGATAAAGAGCCCCCTTCCCTCTTCAACCCCCACCACGAGAGAAGAGCCTTGCGAAAATGTTTTAGGAATTTTTTTCCGAAACCCTGTTGAACACGAGAAATCAGTGGATCGGCTGAGTGAGATTATTTTTCAAGAGGGACCATGAAAACGTTTTGAAATTCCTCCAACCGAAACTCGGCCTTTTTTTTTTTTTTTTAATATCGGCGTATGCCGAGATAATTCTTTTCTCTCCCCTTATGTTGGAATGACGAATTTTTTCCTACTATGACGCATAAATCAAATTTTTTCTTGAGTATTATGAAGTCTGTGCATGATATGCATGGCCTCAGGGATTCTTAAAGACATCAGCATTTGGAATACCCTACTTATCTTAATTTTTGTTCATTTGAAACACGTTATTGACTCGGCAACAAGTAACTTGAAAGGCTCGAATCATTTTGAGCCGAATTTTGTGGGAATTCCGAAAACTTTCTACGCATACCACCCATTTAGTAGTAAGACCACTACGTTCCCACAGAAAAACGCCCACCGGGAATTTTATATCGCATTTCCGCCGAGGAAATGAATAAGTGGCATATCGTTGATGGACTTTGTGATACGTCGATGTCGATGCTAATCCTGTTGGCTGCTTATATTCACCATTGACAGTATCTTTGGTTGTACTGCTTTTTTTTTTCGTACGTGCGCTCTTATATGTTTATTATTATTTTCTTTCAGAGATGGAATGTTCAGAGTTGTTGATGAATTTTTTTTTTCATTCTTGTTGAAATTTCCCTGAATGAACTGTGCGCTATGATGTGTGTTTCTGAAATTCAGCCTGCTTGTTGAAAATGCAGCCACGGGATTTTCTGAGAAAGTTGTTATTCTTTGGAAACCGATGTGTTTTTCAAAACGACAATCGATTCTCCAATATGCACCCGAATTTCGCTTTCATTGGATAGACGAAGCATGACACGATTCCATTATTAATTCTTGCTTGAGTTTAATCTTCTTTCGACTAGCAACATTATAGTATTGCCTGGAGCGATTAACTTCAAAATTGATTTTTTCCACTTACGATTTATGCTGGAAACTTTCGGTTACGCTAGAACAGGTAATACGGGATGAAAAAGAAAGGAAAACTCATTTTTCACCGAGCATACTTTTGTATGCAACATGCTATTCAGAAGTTTGTTCAGTTTCCGTGTTTTCCCAATACCACTTCGTCACTTTCATCGGGGAAATGAAGTGGAAATTTAATCTGTTTAATGAAACTTTCTATTTGAATGTACTGTACAGTAGTTTGAATTATCAGGGAATTTAGAAGATGATGGTTGAGAGGATGAAGACGGATATACAGGTAATAAATTAAATTTGCTGTGAAGGCAATATATACTTTATATGGATGCATATTTTCCTTCGAGAAAATTCTTGGGTGGAATCAGGCTTATGCACATGTTGGCGGATGATCGAAAGTATCTAAAATCCACTTAAACAATTCGAGGAATCACCATAAAGACGTTTCTTCCGGATCTGAAATATTTATGCTTCAAATGGGGATTTCATGAGTACAGTCTAAATTAGGACAGCTAGCACGAGGTAACGAATCCAAGATCTATAAAAAGATTCAGATCAAAGAAACTTCCGAACTGATAATAACGGTAAAATTATTAGTTTGTGAAACGACTGAAAAACTCTATGCCACATTCTGTTGTGCCAGCACTTTTGAATCATCACCAACATTTTTAACATTTATATTCATTTTAGTGTAACGTATTGTAAAATGCACTTCATCAGCTAAAATGCGAAAAAAGCTCTATTGCGTTTCATATATGCAGGCAATGTGCAGGTAATTTTTCGATACACAGAAGTCATGCGTAGTGTCGTAATCGGCGACCTTCATTCCGGCGAATAAGTCAGAAAGATTTTTGGGGAACCTCGAACAAACTTCATCAACAGCAATTGCCGTACGCACACAGGAGTCTTGCACATTAACCACAATGCCTTGGTACTCGGCGAGGAATTGTCCCAATAAGTGGCGGAAAACGTAATTGCCAGTGATCGCGTCGCTGAAGACGTCGACGACGACGACGGAGATGATGACGTTTTCTTGTTCGACGCGAAACGGGGATTGGCGGACGTGACGAGGAAATACGCCACTCATCCGTTTGTACTGTCTGGTGACAGTTGGGACAAACTGATCCACGACTATCCTGTCTGTATGGCTACTCAAACATCCATGAGTCAACAAAATACTGTATAGAGTATAACTATTTCCGTGGAATAATAATTCTCGGAAAAACGTCGATGAAGATGAGAAATGGTCTATCACGCGCTCTTTGTCAAAGCCTCATCGTTTGTACCCGAAAATATAGAATGTACAGGACAGTGCTATAAATTTAATTATCAAGCAGTGAACAGTCGTCAGGTATCGGCATCCAAATTTCGCTTTCATCGAATAGATGACGCGTGACCTGATTCTGTTTGTAATTTTCACTTGAGCTGATGAATTTTCTTTCGACCAACACAGTGAGAAATCTGCAGATATGATGGTTTTTTATTATTTTCTTCGGAACATTTTGTTGGAAATAATATTCATCAGGCTTATGATACGACGATGAATAAGCCACGCAGTATTTGTGATAATTTGCTTTACTTCAACGTAAACCTCACTGTTTTACTGCGAAGATGACAAATTAAGCGCATATTTTTAACCGTAGGGTGATCGATTGTATACTGGGTCGCAAACGTTTCGGAAAGCATCCCAGACGTGGAGCTACACCTAGCAAAATCCGCGATAAAATTCCTGCGTCGTTGTTCGCCCGCCGTCTCAGATCGTGCTAGCTTTCATTTTGTGTCGGATGTTGCCCCATCCACCAGTGGACTTTTCGGCGGAAGCGGATAACGTCGACTTGGACTGCAACTCCCTCCACGAGTCGATAACGAAGTTTGTTGATGCTGGAAAGGTCAGAAGAAATGATGAAGTGGAGAGACTCGATGATCTACCCTCAGCAATTACTACGAAACGTAGCCCGACAAGGTTGCTTAGCAGAATACGTCACGCTCGTAGACGTTGATATGATCCCGAGACTGGGTTTGGCGGAAGATTTGCGTTCCTTTTTGAGGAAAAATGAGACACAGAGCTGCGAAAAATGCGCTTATGTTTTGCCGGTGTATGAAATCGCCGAAACCACTGGGAAGCTTCCGGAAAACAAGGCTGACCTCGTGAAGATGATCGCTGCAAAAAGTGGTCGTCCATTTCACGAGGTTATTATTCGTTGAAGGTTTATAAAAATAAAACTCGGCTACAAATTAATCTCTGCCGAGGAGGATGCGTTGAAATCTTGAATCTACCATACTACAGTAAAGTACAGTAATTGTATTTGTGTATCTGGAAAATGTGGTTTCTAAGAATGCAAACATTGAAGTACCGTAACTTCTCTCTGCTGCCTTTTTCCCCTCGGAATTTAATGAGTAAAGTTGCTCAATTCGCTCGAATAATGCCCTGGATCGTAAAATAAGACTGAAATCTTAAGGCTTACCGCAGCCAATCCTGCTCGTTCATTCCTTAATATTCAAACTTCCTACCGATTCCAAAAAAATTGAATGTAAAATGGAAAGTTTATTTTCGTATGCGTCTCGTGTGTTTAGATAGTTTTTTGTTGTCCCTCAGTTGCAACCCTTTTTCGATGCAAGGCTGTTTCGAAATAATGACGAATTCGAGAGATCGAGTCTGTTCTTGCTCTAAATGGACTGAGCCAGCCTTCTCTAAAATTAAAATCAGTCCAACATGACAACTTGGGCGTTTAGTCTTAAAGGTCGTTGAAGTTCTAGAATCGAGAAACCTATACTGTACTTTCTCATATTTTCCATCGTTTTTTTCATTATGAATTCACGCAAAGAATGCCTGCGTTTGAAGGATAATTATTTTCGCCCGAAGTCTGCTATAAACGCTTCTCATTGAATAATCAACTATAGGGACTCAATCTAAATTTCCAGAGCATCAGTCAAAAGAATTCTGGCTCTTCGAATCTGACTGCTTTGCAAGCAGTTCCCTCAAATACAAAAGTATAATTTGAGTACTCTACGATGTCCAGAAGTTCGAGCCGATCTGCGTTACAAAAGGGTCTATCCCATTTTCGACGAACGATCCTTCTTCTTGTGGGTCTTTTCTCTTTATTTTAACCCTCTGAGAAAATCTAGATACATCTGTACTTTTTCAGCGCACCTGCAGCAATGAGCAATTTTTTGGCTACTGAATTCATTTTTTTAAAGCCCTTTTAGTGTACAGCAAGTAAGAAAAGTTTCCAACAACCCGCATTTTTTGCTGACCCACTCTTGTACTCGTATATTATAAGCCAAACCCTGCATCTAATTGCTTGCAAAATTCCATGATTATTCTGATTTTTAAAAATTCAACAGTCGAATATTTTGCGCATTCCTAACACGATGAGCTGGGAACAAAAGTGGAAGCTTTTCTACTCTTCGTCAACCGAAATTGACTTCGAAATATCGATATTTCTAAGACGGAATATATTTTTTGCAATGAGCTTCATCGCTTCAACTGCGATTGACATGTTTTCACCAGCGCGTAGGAAACCCGTACTTTCAGCTGGAAATTTATGGCGAGTTGTTTTTTCTTCACGATGACAAAATAGTTTGACAAGATGGATATGTTATTGGCATAGCCATTCTCCCAACTTTGAAAACCAACCCAATTCAACGTCTATAGAAATCTCCTATATTTGAGAAAGAATGCGCCAGCACGAGAAAGCGCGTGCGCCTTCTCGTCGACTTGGGGTGCTGCTGAAAATCATGGTCCATGGGTTAGACCTTTTCTGAACTGCTGGGTTTCAGTCAGTCGTTGGCCTCAGCCGGGTACGGTGGGGCGGGTTGCAATCATACATGACGGGTTTCGCTCGTGGAAGAATTCTGCGATTTTCCGTAATTCATTTTTATATTTTATTTAAAAAAAAGAATGTTCAGGGCAGCTACAGGCCGAAAATTGAAGAGAAACATGTCGCTTGTGTACTTGTAGAAAAGTAAAAAATCCATTTCACTCCACAGTATCCTTACACTTTTAACCCGCACCAGAGGCTCACACAAGACAAACATATTGTGATGAAATACAACTCAGCAGTTGATGTACACATTTAATACATTTAGGAAAGTATTTCAACGCTTGGGTATGACAAATAAAGCTTAACCTTGAGAATCGTGAAATCTGGAAAGTATGAGCGAGCAAAATTCTCCTTCAAATCCGAAAATGGATCCTTCTCTCTTTTCTTTTTCTTGCCAGGTAAACCGTGAAAAGTGCCCCACACAGTAATGACGGCTCATAAATTTAAATGCAAATACATTGAATTCGTCAGATTATTTTCAACCTCTTTCCAGTGATGTCCGGGTCCCAGTAAGTGAAGGCGATTTTCCCAGTTAATTTCAATATTTTTACTTTGTTGATATACAGTGCTGTTTTAATTGTTTATTCCCAGAAATTAATAACTGGTGTTCAAAAAATGTTCAGTTGCAAGTGAATTAAAGATATTACAGAAACTTTTTGAAACCATGTCATCGAAGACACATTTTAGGGCTTGCTTAATCTGGTCTTCCAGATCAATACGTTAATCGCTCAAAATGGGAATGTAAAAAAAATTAAATGTACTTTAGTGGCCTTCTGCGGGCAATCTGGATTCGATTCGGTTCATCGCTGAGGAATTTTTAATTTCGATTTAGAATCAACAAAAATTACATATCGAATCGTTTCTTTCTCATAAACTCTTCGGCCGTTTTTTGATGATGCCTAATCGTTTGTGATCAAGTGGAGCTTTCTAAACAATACATTTGAACAGCCGAGAAGTTCATTATTGATAAAATATTTTTGTAAAAGAACACTTTTTGCAGTAATAGATGGTCTGCCAAGATCAAGAAAACCCCCGTTGAGTCGAAAATATCTTCGCAGCAAAAATTCCAGCAATTATATTCAAGAGTGTATTTCGTGGTTTCTTAATTTGCTGGATAGGAAATAAGTGCATATCAAACATTGAAACACTACAGTGATTCGTGCATGAAGGTCGAATCGGTTTTCCATGCAATGACGACTACACTAGTGTCGTTGTTGCATTCCGCTGGTCGGAGGAAAACCGCTCAAGTTTCCGATTCCTATTCGGAAAACTACATGAAATGCCTCGGCTTGGTCGACCTTACTTGCTTGGGTAAGCACGAGCTGAATCGCCGAAAATTGTTATTTCTAAAAATTGGGAAAGAGTTTCCCGGCCGATTCAACTTCTAAAAAATCAACTTCCATTCTTGAGACCTTCGGATCCACTAAAATGTCTTCTACTCATGATCATGATCATTACCTTAAGTAATGCACATTCAAATACTGCCCTATTACTGTACTGCATCTGTACATTCGATTGATTTAGAATTTCAGTAATTTTTATTTATTTTGTCTAATATTTCCTTGAAGCAGCTGCCATTATATTCCATCGAAAATAACTCCACATACGAGCTTTGGCGTTGCACTGGTTTAGAATATAATGCCTCATTGTTATAAGAACTATTGATAATATTCACATTCCTGGCGAAAATCGCTTTTAAAATACTGCACATAGTCAAACCTGTTTGATTCGAACTTCAATAAGGGACCAGAAAAGAATCTGAGTTAGGGAGGTTTAGAGTTGGGGAAGCAAGCATTTTTACTTGGTGATATATTCTGGGTTTTAAGTTGCTGCTTGAATGAATTGACAGTATGCTGAACTTTGAGGCAAAGGTTTATTTTCCCAATTAATCTTTTACTTCCTTCCAGAAAACATTTTATCGCTTTTCTTTTTCCTGTGTCAATCAATAATAGACAAAGGCCTCTGGAAAATTTCAGTTATGGAGGTTTGAGGGAGAAACCCAACCCTTGGAGCTAGGAAGCTTTTTAATGGACTGTTTTCAAGGGAATCCAGACAGAGACAAAAAAAAAAACAACTTTGATGTACAGTACGGAGGAATTTGACTATGGAGAGGTTCAAGTTATCAAGGTCCAATTGTATACATTCAGATGAAGCCAAATATCACACTGCTTTTTGAAGAACCACAGCAGTACGGGCAGCAGTACCTGATTGCAATTCAACCTTCTGCAATTTGACTGTCAAATTTGCTGGGAGGTTGGACACGCAATTTGACCTCTATTCTGCAATTCAACTTGATCCAGTAAACTTTCTAATGCTTTTGTGCTGCTCTAACTTAATTTTACACAGTTTCCCACAATTC